TATTTTAAATCATTACCTATTTCATAAATTTTGGATATTTCCTCATCTATGAACTCAGGACTACAAATTCGTAAAGCTCTCAAAAACATTGATGAGAAAACAGACAGTTTGACTCTATCTTGATGCGAGGAATAATAGTGGACATAGGAACAGTTATTTGTAGGTTTTCTGTAAATTTAATTTGAATTCATTATTACCCTTAATAATTAAAACATCTAGAAAAGGCAATGAGTTATTTTCTTCAAACTCAACAGTAAAGTTTATTAGAATGGGCTAAGCTATTTAATTTTCAAGAAAATGGTGTATATCTACATTTTTGGGCATAAGACACAAAATATCATCAACATATTTTGAACCATTTAGCTCTATTAGGGAGGATTGTGTTAAGCAACCTTGTTTCAAAAAATTCCATGTATAGGTTACTAAGAACAGGTGAAAGAGGATTTCCCATTGCCATACCAAACTTCTGAGTGTAAAACTTATCATTAAATACAAATTTTGCATCAACAATGCAAAGTTTAATAAGTTTAATGATAGTAGGAACTGGCAATGGTAAATCATAGTTAACGAGTTCTTCAGATAAGAAACTTAATAAATCATCAACAGGAACTTTCGTAAACAAGGAAGTAACATCAAAACTAACCATGTTAAAATCATTTAAGTCAGTCAAGGAGCTTAATTTATCATCCAAGTCTATGTTGTTTTTAACATTAAAGTTAGAAATTTTGCCAACAATAGGCTCAAATATCAACAAGCCATTTGGATAATTTATATGAAACTGCCCCTATGGAGCTAATAATTGGTCTGACTGGATTCCTGGTTTGTGTGTTTTTATTAGTCCATACATGTAAGGTAAAGATGGATTAGTGGAAGTAAATTGTTTGACTAATTCATCTTTGCCTTACAGTAGAAGTTTTATTGTTTTATTGAAATTGCTGTTAACGGTTTCTAGGGGATTTTTCCTAAGTTTAGTATAGGTTTCAGTATCATCTAAGAGATTATTCATTTTTTCTTGGTAATCTTTTTCTGTTATAATTACTATTGCATTTATTTTGTCTGCTTTAGTAAGGCGCAAATTTTTATTGTTATTAAGTGTATCATAAGACTTAAAGAATCTTTGAGGGCAATTGGGAATGTTTGGTTTTAACATAGAGCTGTTTTACCATTCCTTTACTAATATTAATTTCATCAGAGGATAAATCAGAAAATTTTTCAAAGTTACAAAAGGCTTTTGCAATTTCAACATTATTAAGTTTTTTGAAGTTGCAAAACTTAGGCCAAAACCTAGAGCAGCAGTTGTATGTTTGTCTAAAATTTCATCTGATAATAAGTTAATTACAAAATTGTTATTAGCAAGCTTTGTCCAATCACTATTTTCAATTAAAATGTCTAATTTTCTTTGTAGTTTGCTCTTGAGTTCATTACAAATTCTTCTGAGTTTATTATAGCAATGATCCAACATACTGTGTTTCCATTCTGATGGAATGGCCTGATTAAAAGAGTATTTTTTGTTTCTCAATATTTTGAATGCTTCCTTCTCCTGTATTTTAGTTATTTCAATATGTTTCTAGGTTTTGGCCTAAGTTTTGCAACTTCAAAAAAACTTAATAATGTTGAAATTGCAAAAGCCTTTTGTAACTTTGAAAAATTTTCTGATTTATCCTCTGATGAAATTAATATTAGTAAAGGAATGGTATACAGCTCTATGTTAAAACCAAACATTCCCAATTGCCCTCAAAGATTCTTTAAGTCTTATGATACACTTAATAACAATAAAAATTTGCGCCTTACTAAAGCAGACAAAATAAATGCAATAGTAATTATGAAAGAAAATGATTACCAAGAAAAAATGAATAATCTCTTAGATGATACTGAAACCTATTCTAAACTTAGGAAAAATCCCCTAGAAACCGTTAACAGCAATTTCAATAAAACAATAAAACTTCTACTGAAAGATGAATTAGTCAAACAATTTACTTCCACTAATCCATCTTTACCTTACATGTATGGACTAATAAAAACACACAAACCAGGGAATCCAGTCAGACCAATTATTAGCTCCATAGGGTCAGTTTCATATAAATTATCCAAATGGCTTGTTGATATTTTGAGCCCTTTTGTTGGCAAAATTTCTAACTTTAATGTTAAAAACAACAGACTTGGTTGATAAATTAAGCTCCTTGACTGACTTAAATGATTTTAACATGGTTAGTTTTGATGTTACTCCCTTGTTTACGAAAGTTCCCGTTGATGATTTATTAAGTTTCTTATCTGAAGAACTCGTTAACTATGATTTACCATTGCCAGTTCCTACTATCATTTAAACTTATTAAACTTTGCATTGTTGATGCAAAATTTGTATTTAATGATAAGTTTTACACTCAGAAGTTTGGTATGGCAATGGGAAATCCTCTTTCACCCGTTCTTAGTAACCTATACATGGGAATTTTTTGAACAAGGTTGCTTAACACAATCCTCCCTAATAGAGCTAAATGGTTCAAATATGTTGATGATATTTTGTGTCTTATGCCCAAAAATGTAGATATACACCATTTTCTTGGAAAAATTAAATAGCTTAGCCCATTCTATAAACTTTACTGTTGAGTTTGAAGAAAATAATCATTGCCTTTTCTAGATGTTTTAATTATTAAGGGTAATAATGAATTCAAATTTAAAATTTACAGAAAACCTACAAATAACTGTTCCTATGTCCACTATTATTCCTCGCATCAAGATAGAGTCAAACTGTCTGTTTTCTCATCAATGTTTTTGAGAGCTTTACGAATTTGTAGTCCTGAGTTCATAGATGAGGAAATATCCAAAATTTATGAAATAGGTAATGATTTAAAATACCCAAGAAATGTAATTGATAAATCTTTTAAAGTTGCTAGAAACACTTTTTATAATCCAAAAAGGAGCAACCAGCCTTATTCAACTAAAAATATGTTGGTTCTCCCTTACCATGAAAACTTGGTTGATATGCCTTCTCTTCTTAAGACTTTTAATATTAAAGTTGTATTCAAAAATCTTGATACAGTAAAAAAACTTTTGATAAAGAATTCCCCCCAAATGCTGATGGATGTGTCTATAAGATTCCTTGTAAAATTTGCGATAAAGTTTATTACGGTCAAACTGGTAAAAATCTCGAACTAAGATTAAAGCAGCATAAATATAGCATTAGAACTGGACAAGATTCCAATACTCTATTTATTCATGTAAGAGATTTTAACCATCCAATTGATTTTCAAAAAGTTGAGAAAGTAGTATCAAGCAAGTCCATGGTCGACAGGAATATAATTGAATCTTGTTTCATAAAAAGCAGTTTTGACAATAATATGAATATTTCCTTTGGTTTATATAAATTAGATCCATTTATAATTAATAGAATTTGGGAAGAATTTAATAATACACTGGACAAATAAATAGCTTGGGGGTGAGTTGTGCAAAGGACCTATCCAAGTTGGCTCGCCGCGCGTCACGTGTTTAACAGTTGTGGGATCTGATAGTGAGGTGCTGGCCGGACCCCTTATATAGCTTCCTTGGATGCTTCACTTTCATAGTTCCTTGATAATGTGAGTAGTCACGAAAGCGCTTGGAATTTCTCTATTCTTTCAGAGTGGTTGTTTTGCATATTTTGAAATCACCTGTTTACTGTGATCTTATTGCATATATATATATTATATATATATATATATATATTATATATATATATTATATATATATATTATATATAACTTATGTATATACCCATGATGATAACTTACGGTTATACCTTTGATAATACGTCTTGCTTATGTACCATTGATGAGACAAAGGTACAGATCACTAGATCCTTTATGCAGAATTCAAGAAAGTATTCAATACTTTTCAAAGGTCACCCAAAGTGGGATCATAAACACACTGATTAGGTTTGAATCCAACTCACGAGGCTGTATTCGTGAGACTGGACTCGGGAGGTTGGACTCGTGAGGCTGGACTCGTAAGGGTGGACTCGTGAGACTGGACTTTCGAGGCAGGACTCTAAAATTCTCTCAGTCGATACGAGACGAATATCAAAGAGTATTACCTTGACCTTCCCTAAGCCTCATTAATACCTCAGTTGTCTCAGTGACCGTCTCTTCCTGGATCCAGTCCATGATGTTGTCGAAGGGCTCTTGATTTGAGAGGGTTGGATCTTCCCTTCCTTGGATCATATTCGATTACCTCCCATTCTCTAGGGGACTGTATAACTCCTGTGGGCTTAGCGCTTCTCTCCTTGTGAACATGATTGACGACCAGAGGTCAAAGGAGGCGAAAACACTGACGTATTAAGGTATTATAAAATTGTCTAAACACGCAGGTCGCCACGTAAGTCGTCATGGAGGTCGTGTAAGACGACCTTGTTTGTCGTACTCAGACGCACTACGACTTTAACAATTCCAGGAATCGATCAAGAGAAAACAGAAGTCATACAACAGTGACTCAACGAGAGAGAAAGAGGACGTAGAGGAGGCGTACGTTATATCAGAGCATAAAAGAGAAGTAATGACAAAATAGAGAGAAAAGAGAATAATGTAATGGTTTAAAGGAGACATAAGAATCACGTACAGTGCATGAGGAATCAACTTATAATTTATGAATAGGCTAGTTGGTAAATGAGATTTATAGCATATCAACTCACGAGGGTCATTAAGGCTGCGTGTCACCTGTTCAACGCGTCAAGAATATATTTTAATGGGTAAAAGTAGGGATTAAAGTGAACTCTTAGTACATATACAGTATATATATATAACAAGAGACACACACCTTGGTGTATGTATCCTAAAAGGAGAACAGGTCGAGGCTGGAGTAACGTAGCAGCACACTGCAGTCACACTTAATTTTGCACATTAAAAAAAAAAACGAATGCCACACGTATGTAAACAGTTGTTACTGTAGCCTTGTTATGTTACTAAGATCACTGTAGCCACACACTACTGCTGTGATGCTTTTTGTTAATAGAAATCTGTTCTGGTTCCCAGACCAAGAGGCTGACCATCAACAACAATTACAAGACCAGTCGTGAGAGGGAGACCAAGGACCAAATTCAGGCTTGCAGACCTTCCACTCCCACTCCCTCAGCTACTGACGTGAGTATACTAGTTTTCTCAATCAGCTAACGTAAGCATACCTTAGTACAGTAGATGAATAAGACACATGTATAGAACCTGGATGTCTTTACTGACGAGATGTTTCACCGGCACAGCAGGCTTCTTCAGTCTAATAATATAATTAATGCAGTGATACTTTAAAGACACATCACCACCTTGAAATCTTGGTACACAGGCTATCTTTCGCAGTTTTTTTCTTTTTTTGCCATCCGCTGACCCAGCTTAGGCATGACTTCCTTCCACTGTCATTAACTGCTACACTTTTCTAGCTCCAGTATATACGTCTCCATTCTCATGCCTTTGCTTTAGATAGCTCAAGGCTATGAGACTGAACACCTATCAAGGCTAAAGGAGTGAACACCGTATACCAAGGCTAGAGGGCTGAATTCCCTATACCAAGGCTAGAGGGCTGAATTCCCTATACCACGGCTAGAGGGCTGAATTCCCTGTACCAAGGCTAGAGGGATGAATTCCCTGTACCAAGGCTAGAGGGCTGAATTCCCTGTACCAAGGCTAGAGGGCTGAATTCCCTATACCAAAGCTAGAGGGCTGAATTCCCTATACCAAGGCTAGAGGGCTGAATTCCCTATACCAAGGCTAAGGGACTGAACACCTATAAAGACTAGGGGACTGAATACCTGCTGTGCGGGCGAAACGTTTCACCAATAACGATACCCAAGTGATGCACATGTGTCTTACTCATCAACTTGTCGACATTATACACCTTTAACGTACTGATGCCTCAGTAGCATGATAGATAACAACTTGGCTTTAATACGAGGTGAACAACCTAGTTTTGGTAAGCCAGCACTTGCGTGGTCACTGAGCGGGTTATCACCTGTCAAAGACACCTGTCAGAAGATTGTTTCCTGACGACAGATCATGACTTCCCTGACAGCAACCACTCAAGAAGGTACTCCTGCCACATGAGTTTGAAACAGAAGCCTATTAAATTTTTAGCACCTTGGCAGGATCGCCGATATTTCCGTCTCATACACACGTCAGATGGTCAGGTCAGTCTCACAGAATGCTGTGAGTGTCCCCGTGACTGCTGTGTGCGTGTCCCCATGATTGCTGTGTGCGTGTCCCCGTGACTGCTGTGTGCGTGTCCCCATGATTGCTGAGTGCGTGTATACTATTCATTAATTCTTATCTTCACTAATTACGAGATAAATTCTCTTGGTCGGCTTATAATTTACAACTGACGAATTTGGTGAGTCAGGCTGTGTGTGTGTGTGTGTGTGTGTGTGTGTGTGTGTGTGTGTGTGTGTGTGTGTGTGTGTGCCTGCCTTTGTGTGTGTGTACTCACCTAATTGTGGTTGCAGGGGTCGATTCATAGCTCCTGGCCCCACCTCTTCACTGGTTGTTACTAGGTCCACTCACTCCCTGCTCCATGACCTTTATCATACCTCTTCTTAAAGCTATGTATGGATCCTGCCTTCACTACATCACTCTCCAGACTGTTCCACTTCCTGACAACTCTGTGCCTGAAGAAATACTTCCTAACATCCCTGTGATTCATCTGAGTTTTCAACTTCCAGTTGTGACCCCTTGTTGCTGTGTCCCATCTCTGAAACATTCTGTCCCTATCCACCTTGTCAATTCCTCTCAGTATTTTATATGTTGTTATCATGTCTTCCCTATCCCTCCTGTCCTTCATTGTTGTAAAGTGTGTATGTGTGTGTGTGTTTAAAAGGGTCGATTTGATAACCCTTAGCCGGCTTCTTAAGCTGCTTTGACCGCCATTAATAATTGCGTGTTCTTGTAAGAGCTCTGTGATACCTACTCTTGTAAATGTATAACTATGTAATTTTCGTAACTGTTTAGATTTTGTAAGTACCTAACTCTTGTAATTACTCGTAGATTCTCGCTCAACCACTACCTAACATTTTGTACATTCCACTTACCTACCACCTCAAGACTGAGAAGTACTCCTCTTACATCCTTATGATTTACCTGTTGTTTAAATTCTCATTTGCCCTCTGTTCTCGCTGGCTTTCGCATTTCTTTTAATCTAATTGTTCTCTGTCCCCCTCCCCTACCTAACGAGTCAATTTAGCTACATTGTTTGCAGATGATCCCTCTCCCCAAGTGGGTTCAGATAATGATGATATATTCTTTTTTCTAGTAATTTACAAGGTCTAGCGTTGTATTGCCTACCGTCATTTGCGCTGTTGTGTTGCGACAACAAAAGCACCTGAGAATGTGGGGACCTGTAGATTACTTGTTAATTGTTCTGTCCATCGGTTTACTTGGTATCTATATTTATAAAGAAATAAACTGACCTTGAAGACTAGTCAGTTTATTTTTTTATAAATGTAGATACTTATATACAGCTCAGGACACATATTAAAGGAAACATTTCGCCAGGAGTGGGTTTATCAGTAATGAAGAGGGCAGTCGTGGCGAAATGTTTCCTTTAATAAATGTCCTGAACTGTACAATATGTTTTTATCCATATCTTCAGTTATCATAACATTTGCATCCATTATTTCTTTATTGAAATCCCCAAATACAATGATCTGTGCTTTTTCACGGTCACCTTTTATTAAGAGTTTTCTTAATATATCTTGTATGTCCTCAAATTCTTATCTGTCTGTGTTTAGAAGTGGATTGTATGAATTTTCATATATTTTTCATCTTTGATCTGGCTTTCCACCGCAAGAATTTCGACATTATTATGCATGTTTCTGATTTTAATTACAGTATCCTGAAGTGATTCTTTTGCCAGATTGCTACATCTCCTCCATTCTTCCCCACTGTGTCTCATCGCAACATAGTAGTTACCCTTCAAATGCTGTCTCATTAATAAGAACGAAATTTTCCATTTTAGTACGATTTTGACAGTTTTATTTTTCTAAGACTGCGCCATGTTTACAGTGGTGGCGCCGAGTGACTGGGGACTTACTTACCCACCAAAAATATATCCCCTCAGCCTCGCAAATAAATATATAGTAATAATAAGAATAACACTGCTGCAAAACAATTCTGCTAGCCTCCAGTACAAAAATTCTGGCGTCGCCTCTGACATTTTATTGTGGCAACGTTTCGCTCTCCAAGAGCTTTGTCAAGCCGTTACAAACAACACAACGGCTTGATAAAGCTCCTGGACAGCGAAATGTTGACACAATAAAATGTCACATTAGTTGCACTTGTGTCCTTTTACTTTATTTGTCGGTAATTCTACCAACATTAATACACTCTTGTACAGTATTTCTAGTGTCTTAGCAGAACGAGTGTTTTTTTTAATCTCGCTTCTTTTGATAGTTTCTAAATATGCTATTGTTTTTATTCTTTCATCCTTAGAGATGGTGTGAACTCAGTTATATGGCTAGCAAGGACCTTATTGCTTGCGTAAATGACTGACTGAACATCTTTTCCCCCAGGAGGGTTACTTCGACCAGGACTGCGACATGGTGAGCAGTCAGGTTGAGAGCGGTCATGCAGGACCCGCCTGCAGCAGCACCACCACCACCACCAACAGTAACAGCAGCAGTAAAGCTAGCTTCAGTTCCACACACTTGCCAGGAACTGCTAATCACCACCCTTCCTTAGCCACCAACCTCGGAGATCTTGAAGTGGAGGAGATCACCTCATAGTGTTCCCCGTCCTCCAACATTGGTCTCCACCACAAGTGCAGAATGAGGGAGATCTTCCCATTGCGTCCATCATCCACCAGAGTGCCAGGCAAACTGAGCGAGACATTTCTGGCATGAAGGTGGCTCTCGACTAGACGTTTAGATAGTGATCACTGATGGAAGCCCTCCAAAAATTTTCTGGCTATGTACTATGTAGTTGTTAAACTTATCAAATGTAAAATAAACACAGAATAAAAATAAATGAAACAAATAGCAATGTGTAAAGGATGCGCGGGGGGGGGGGGGGGTTAGGTCCCTTTGAGCTTAAGAAGAGGGTCAAACGTAATCAGGAGTTATTTATCTCAGTGTATTTACACCGACACGGGAGTTGAGTATCTCAGTGTAATTACACTTTAATCCCTCTTTTAGGGATTGAAGTAACCTCGACTAGTGGTGTACAGGAAAGCATGCTGCCGTAATGACCCTTGTTTGGGCGATAGGCTTTAAAATTTAACTAGTAATTCTCAGTTGTCGATATTCTTAAACTGAAATTAAAACTCCGACAGTAGAGCATAGGTCGAGGACACTTCCTGTACAACACAGGTCGAGGACACTTCCTGTACAATGTACAACACAGATTGAGGACGCTTCCTGTGCAACACAGGCTGAGGACGTTTCCTGTACAGCAGGTTGAGGACGATTCCTGTACAACACAGGTTGAGGACACTTCCTGTACAACACAGGCAGAGAACACTTCCAATCGAATGTAAATAATTCGAATCGTAAATTGTATCATCTGCAAAACTCACAATAATCAATGAACAACAGAGGCTGGAACACGCACGAGAGAAAGGATGTATATGTATAATGTATAAGATGTATATGTATGATGTATAAGATGTATATGTATGATGTATATGAGTGATATATGTTTCTCCAATAGTGACGTCTCGTATTTAATGAGTCGGTTAAGTTACTTGACAACTTCAAAACATCAAGATTATTATAATTTGTTGAATATATGAGAGTGAGTGAGGGTGAATGAATGAGCACACTCATCCCTGTAGGTATGGATGGATGAGTGGGTCGATCTCAGTGTAGTGGACTTCAAAGTTCAAGGCTGCCAGTGTGTGTCAGGACCACTACAAATACCACTACACCAAGGCTGCTAGAGTGGGTCAGGACCACTACACAAGGCTCCCAGTGTGTGTGTCAGGATCACTACATATCACTATACCACTACACCAAGGCTACCAGTGTGTGTCAGGACCACTACCAACACTACTATACTAAGGCTTCTAGAGTGGGTCAGGACCACTATCACCATCACTGTACCACTACATCAAGGCTGCCAGTGTGTGTCAGGACCACTGTCAACACCACTCTACCACTACACCAAGGCTGCTAAAGTTGGTCAGGACCACCACCACCGCTACACCGAGGCTGCTAGTGGTCGGGACCACCGCCAACACTACACCAAGGCTGCTAGAATGGGTCGGGACCACCACTATACCTAGGCTGCTAGAGTGGGTGATGACCATCATCACCACTACACCAAGGCTGCTCGAGTGGGTCAGGACCACCATCAACACTACACCAAGGCTGTCACAATGAAAGACCTTCACCACTGTGAAGGCAACGCCCTTTCCTGAAAAGCCTTGGCGTGTATTGGGTGCCGGAAGTGCCAAATCGCCACTCTGATGGTCATGCAATCGTTCCTTCAAGGTTAGGTACCGCTGAAGGGCTGCTGATCTAAGGAATGGGAGACACCCTTCCCTTCCCTAGATTAAATCTGATTATTATAATTCCCCGTTTCTCACGTGAGCTCTACATTTGACTCCAGTAATTATGTAGAGACGTAAAAGAGAAGTATTATGAGCACAGGTCGCATGACACCATGTTGGAAGGTGTCAGTACCCTTAGTACGCCAGATGCCGACATGTGTTGTACTTGGGTAGCTCAGTGGTACAGCCTCTCACTCATAACAGGGGGACCCGGGATTAGTTTGAGTTGGGGGTGTGATGTCTCGGCACGTCTCCTAATACCTGCTGCCCTCTAACAATAAAAATAGTTAGCCGACTGTCGTAGGTCGCATCCTGAGGAAGAGAACCTATGGACTACAGTGGAAATAAGCCACGTAGGCTTTCCAGGATTATTCGTCTTCTTATGTAGGGTTGACACACGCAGACACAACCCCCCCTCCTTACCAGGGTTGGAACAAGAACAATGGGACGTGCTTAGAACAGTAACAAGGGGCATGTGCTTGGAACAATAACAAAGGGGACGTGCCTGGAACAACAAAGGGGGACGTGCCTGGAACAAAAATAAGGTGACGTGCCTGGAACAACAACAAAAGGGTATGGCTGGAAAATACACACCCTAACGAGCCATAAGTAAACCAGGACACACTTCTTAAACACAAGAGTGGTAAATAAATTGAATAAACAATGCAAACGGACTCAATACAAACTTCACAAATAGATACGACAAGGACATTTCACGCCAGTCGATGGTAAGAGGCTGGACCTGAAATTAAAATATCCAGTCTCAAGAGATGCACTGCTAAAAGCTCACAACTCCTGTACGAGGAGGTTTAGGAAGCACTAGGATAACCTCCAGCCTAGCTGTAACACACCAGTGATATTTCCCCCTGTGACGAGAAAACTAAAGAAAGTTGTATTAGTATCTCCTATAATGTCTTATTTAATAGGTTAATGTTTTCCTTAGGCCAAATCCACCTGATAGCAGATATATGGTGATCTTAAAATGTATTATAATTGACTATGAAGTTTCCGTGATGGGGTATTAGGCTTTCATGTCTCTCTCTCATAATTACTGTGGTAGGTTAGCCTGAGTATATTATAAAAAACAAGACGTTGTGTAATATATTTTGTACCATTGTAATGTTAATATGTATTGCCCAGTAATAATAAGAATAATAATAATAATAATAATAATAAACATTTTAATTTACCTTAATATGTGTAAATGAAAAGAAAATACACAGAGGTGTATTCTCATTGTATATACACCAAGAAGTGTGACTATATATATATATATATGTGTGTGTGTGTGTGTGTGTGTGTGTGTGTGTGTGTCGTGCCGAATAGGCAGAACTTGCGATCTTGGCTTAAATAGCAACGCTCCTCTTGCCATATAGGGCAAGTAAAAATTTGTGTATGCGATAATTTCGCCAAAATCATTCTGAACCTAACGAAAAAAATATATTTCACTGTGTTTGTTTAGTATTAAATTATTGTAAACAAATCTAAAATACATTTAGTTGGGTTAGGCTAAAATAATTTGTTCTTGTTATAATAAGGTTAGGTAAGTTTTCTAAGTTCCTTTTGGTGCAAAATTATAAAGTTTTATATCAACATTAATGAAAAAAATATATCTTTAAACGTATAAGAGAAAATTTTAGAAAGGACTTAATTTTAAATGAGTTCTTGCTAATTGACCAGTTTTACATATTCAGCACGACATATATATATAATTATATTTATGTATATATATGTATGTATATATATATTATATAATATATATATATATTATATATATATATATATAATATATATATATATATATATTATCTAATTATTGTACCCACGAACGAGTGGTATTGATCAATAACAACACTGCGACTAGCCAAGGAGTCAAACCTATGCTGCTCTGGCCCGCCTCATGGTGAGCGAAAGAAATGACCTCTAGTCCACAGAACGACACATTTCTCAAGCTATATGCTATACCCGTCATCCGAGAACATACGGTGGTGTGGATGCCTCTGAGCTACTTTCATTCTACTTCTTGTTTGGTGTACTAGCCCAACGATCAGTGTGTATACATTGAGAAGTACCTAGAAATATACTCCACCCGGTGTATGTATACCGAAATGCGCGTCTGCATATACATCGAATGATGTATATACTAACACCCGGTGTATATAAACCAAGAAATGCACACCACGGGTTTATATACATCGAGAAATACACAACACTCGGTGTATATATGAGGAATACACACTACTAGATGCATACATACCGTGAAATGCACAGCATTGGGTTTATATAACCCTAGAAATACATACCACTGAGTGTATATATACCTTCAAATACGCACCATTGGATGTATATACATGGAGAAATACACACCATTTTGTGTATATACCGAGAAATACACACCACTAGGGTTGTATACAAAAGAAATACACCACTAGGGTGTATATGCAAAATACACCACTAGGGGTATATACAAAAGAAATACACCATTAAGGGGTATATACAAAAGTAATACACCACTAGGGGGTATATACAAAAGAAATACACCATTAGGGGTACATACAAAAGAAATACACTACTAGTGGATATATACAAAAGAAATGCACCACTAGGGGTATATACAAAATACACCACTTGGGGTATACACAAAATATACCACTAGGGGTATATACAAAATATACCACTAGGGGGTATATACAAAAGAAATACACCACTAGGGATATATACAACAAATAAACGCTACTTGGTGTATATACACCAACTAATACACACCACTAGGGGTTATTTACAAAAATACATCACTGGGTGTATGTACACCGAAAGATACACAACTGGGGGTATATACAAAAGCAATATACCACTAAAGGGTTATATACACCTAGAAATACATACCGCCGGGTGTGTATATATACCTAAGAAATGCACACCACCGGGTGTGTATATACATCTAGAAATACACACCACCGGGTGTGTATATACATCTAGAAACACACCACCGGATGTATATACATGGAGAAATACCAGAGTAGCAGGGAGGTGGCGTGATGGTTTGTTGTGAGGGTATCCAGGCAGCACAGCACTGCGTGGTAAGTAATTCTCCAGCCACAGTACCTCCACTTGTCACTTCCACTCACACCCACATACTGCTCCACCATCATCATCCACCACCCTGGATCAGAGATCATTGACCCTGGATGCCCCTAAGAGGGATAGACGGTGATAAATGTAGCGAGAGAAGTGAAGGACGATAAGGATATGGGAAACAAGGGTAGTCGTGGACTTCGGGGTGAAGCCTCATCACCAACCAATGATGAATATCAGAATTACACCAGTAAACAAGGATTTAATGATAACAGGTTAGTTGAATGGATCTTATAAGGATTTAGAATTACGCCAATAAACAAGGATTTAACGATAACAGGTTAGTTGAGAGGATCTGATTTAGGATTACTGTAATAAACAAAGACTTATTCTTAATAGGATAGTTGTTAGGATATCATAAGGATTTATAGGCTCTGTCACTCATGATTTTATTGAACAAGTAGATTAGTTGGGAAGATGGTTGGTTTATTAGGCGATTAAAGCCTATTAACTACACGGCTCCCCGTCAGGGAGGTAGCTTGAAGCTGGCCAGGGGGTCTTGATCTGTGGAACTGGATCAGTGCTCCAGTTCCTCGAAGCAAGCTGGTATGCCTTCCATTCCCCCCAGGCGCTGTACGACCCCTACGGGTTTAGCATTCCATGAATGTAATAATATCGACTACATGAGGATCGTTATATTGCATGAAGAATCTGCCCCTAAAATACTCAATGTTACTTTTATTATACAATTTTTCTATTTTGCAACGAAACAACACAGCGACCTAACCTAACGAGGCCTGGTGTATATATATATATATAATATATATATATATATAATATATATATATATATATATATATATATATAATATATATATATATATATATTTATATATATATATATTATATATATATATACACCAGAATTTATACGAACCGCCCCCCTCCTCAAAGGAGGTTCCTTGATGTCGGCAATGGCTTTTGATCCGGAGAGGTACACCTGATTTATCTTTACATATAACCAGCCTGATTATCTTCCATTCCCCAGGCTCTTTATGGTCCCAAAGGATTTAGTGTTCCCATGAATGTAATAATAATAGTAATTATACACAACACTACGTATAAAACAACGGTATTACAAACACAGGTTATGAATATGAAATTTATATATATATTTGCAATCAGTTTACTTAAATGGCACATTTGCATGAATGTTTAGACTAGGATTCGTTGTTCGAGAGATTTTTCGAGCCTCAATAAAACTTTAAAGAAAGATCCTTGTCGTTATGTGACAAACACACTCGTAAAGCGCACACAAAGTGGTCAGGCTACTTAATTTACTTTTCTTGTATCTCTCTTCCTACCTACCTACCTTACCTCACTATTTGTCTGCCCATAACCTTTTACCCTCCACATTCTTGCCATCCCTCAGACCTTAAAACAAAGTTCCCGATGAATTTAACGTTGTGAAGAGTTGAATCTTGATCGATTGATCGATGGATATAGTTTTTTTCTCCCTTTCCTTGAATCAAACCTAATTATAGGTAAGTTTATTTAGGTACAGGTACACATAAATTAAGTTACACAGATTACATCTTAACATATGTGTAAATTACCTAGGATAACCCAAAAAAGTTAAAGTGACTTATTTCCTTTGGGATCTTGCTTCATATTCCTTAGGTGCTGCATGATATAACTACATCTGAAACCTGACAACTTATGAACAATACAGTGCAACATCATACGACGGATTTATCACGTTCAAGTATTAATTGGGGTCATTTGCTTGCCAGAGAGATCACAGACCAGGGCAGTGAAGCAGCCACCATGGCTGAGGAGGATGAGCAGATGATGACAGAGAAGCCGGTGTTTAGCGAGGCTTGGATGAACCGCTGCTACAATGATCTTGTTTCTCCCAACCCAGCATGCGCCAAGGTGGGTCATTCTCTTGTTATTTAACCAACTCTCTCCTTCAGTGGAGGTTCCTTGATGCTGGTGAGGGGCTCATGATCTAGGAAATTGATCTAGGGAATTCAGGCTTAATTCAGGGAATTAAGCCTGAATACCTTCCATTCCCTACAGGCGGTGTATAATCCTACGGGTTTAGCGCTCCCCGTGATAATAATAATCGACCAGTCCTTATGCTATCCCTTTACTGCTTGCGCTCAGAACCTGGTTCAATCTCATGCACTCAGGACGTGCTTCATTACCACTATAACTTGCTTAGCTGTCAAAACATTGGAGCGAGTCCCTAAACCCATTATGTGCCTCTGTAATCTTCTGACTACTGCCCACAGGATGAGTATGGTGCGCATATTAAGGTAATTAAATTAATTAGCCCAACCCAGCATGCGCTGATGTGGGCTAGGCTACGCATCCCATTAATAACCCTTCACTTTACCCTCACTGTTATTTTCAGCGCCAGGAACCCATCACTACACATGGCTGTCATACCATACATCACACTATACAATACAGCCAATCACACTTTTCACTAGTGCCTCACACTACAAAATACACTAGAGCCTCACACTACACAATACACTAGTGCCTCACACTACAAAATACACTAGTGCCTCACACTACACAATACACTAGTGCCCCACACTACACAGTAATAAAAGTATTCCCCTCACTATACAATGTTACCCCTCGCTTGCCCTTACTATCTAGTAATTAGGTATTGATTAAAACCTCCACCACGATCCATAGTGTGTGTGTGTGTGTGTGTGTGTGTGTGTGTGTGTGTGTGTGTGTGTGTGTGTGTGTGTGTGTGTGTGTGTGTGTGTGTATGTGTGTATGTGTGTGTGTGTGTGTGAAATAAAAACTCTTCATCGAGCTTTATTTCCGGGGTTCGAGTCTCAGAGCCTGACCCCAGATTTTAAACTGTAATCGTTGGCATTATTGCTTCCAGGCCTCTAGCATACCTACTTTTGATTCACCACTTCGTCAGCTAGTTCATTCCACTGACTTACCACCTTAAGATTGAAGAAGTACTTTCTAACATCCCAGTGGCACATCTGTGTTTTTAGCTTCCATCTATGGCCCCACGCCCCTGAATCTGGC